TTTTTAATTTAAATAATTTTAACATACATATTACATTCTATTAATATTAATAGTATACATTTGAAGTATTTTTAAAAATAGAATTTTAGCAAGCCATATTTAAAAAATTAAATAAAGTGATGTAGGTAACAATATAAGCTATTTAGTTTGGAACTTAACATGTCAAATTTCATTGCATTTAAGTAACTTTGATTTCTAGAATATTAATATCTTTTCTTGGATATGAATTATCCATACAAAATATCCAAGAATGATACATACCGGGCAATTGCATCGTCAATAGCAAGCCAAGACCATTCAAAATATATTGATAAATCAAAATGTACAGTGACAAACAAAACCGAGTACAAAATCTAAACACTCATAGTTCATTGATCCTTCCAACTGACACATAAGTCAATTGATAGAATTACTTTTTTATTGTGTGTATTCATCCAATCCTCTACATGGATGAAAAATCTCATTATCATTTGAGGTAGGGTTTATGAGAAAAGTGTTGTAGAAGCACACAGATGTGCGTACTCAGTTTTGGTTGCTTCTTCTTGCTGAATTTCGAAATTTCAATGTACACTCCTTGTTGCAAGATTTGAGGGCATTTTTTGTTTGTTGTATTGCTCTTGTTGTGTACTATCTATAGTGAAAGTTGATTTGTCAATTGTATCTCTATGCCTCGGTTGTGTGAATCATTGAAGCACCAAGCATTGGTGCAGCTTAGGAGTGGTGTTTCTACAAGAAAAGTTGCAGACTCACTTGGAATGAGTCAGTCTTCAGTAGCTCATCTGAGGACGGAGATTAGTGGTGAAATAGAAAAGCAAAGAGGAGGACGTCCAAAGGTTTTAGGAGAGTAAGAGAAGCGACTTGGTATACACCTTGTCACTACTGGTTGTCTCAAAACGGCAAGTGCAGCTGCAAAACAACTTCGAGAAAAAACAGGTAAACACTTCTCAGACATCACCTTGAGGCGTGGTTTGAGAGAAGCTGGTTTGGGTGCTTGTGTGCAACAAAAGAAGCCTCTACTTGCCAAAAGACATGTTCTTGCAAGGTTGAGTTTTGCTCATAAATACAAAAATTGGACCGTTGATGATTGGAGACGGGTTATTTTCAGTGATGAGACAAAGATTAACCTAATCAACTCAGATGGTAGGTCTTAGTGTTGGATGAGAGAAGGAGAACGACTTGGACCTAAACATGTTAGTCAAACTATCAAACATGGTGGTGGTTCAATTATGATTTGGGATTATATGACTACTTTTGGGCCGGGTGCTTGGTATCAAATTGAAGGTAGAATGGAGCAACACTTGTACAAAAAAATTTTAGAAACCTACTTACAAAGTACCACACAGAATTACAACTTAGATCCTACTAAGGTGGTTTTTCAACATGATAATGATCCCAAACATATGGCAAAAAGTGTTCAGTTTTGGCTCTCTTCACAACCATTTGAGTTCCTTCGATGGCCAGCTCAATCTCCAGATTTGAATCCAATGGAACATTTTTGGGCCCTTCTCAAACAGCGTTTAAGCCAAGTCACTCCAAGGCCAAGAAGTGTTCAAGAATTGTGGGAGAATGTTTGTAGTATTTACCCTAGTTTTGATGCAAAAGATTGTGAGAAACTATACAAAAGTATGCCAAGAAGGATTTCAGCTGTTTTGGAAGCAAAAGGTTATTGGACTAAATATTGAAGTTTGAAGATTTTCTTTGAACAATACTGAGTACAAGACATAGTTGTTGATTTGACTTTGTAGAAGGATGTTTAATTATCAATTTGATGTGCAACTTTGTACATGTGTACAAGACTGTGTGTATTATTCCATGTAACTTTCAGATTTATAAAGCAATCATTGAAATTTCTGTAATTGCTCTTGAAAGTTGGCACTTCAGATTTTGTACTCGGTTTTGTTTGTCACTGTATGTATCAGTGAAAATGGAGTATAAAGTGGGACAAATCAGAAGAGGCAGACAGTGGGAGAGTGGGGGAGGAGGTGGGGGTGGCGGCGCCGAGGCTGCTAATGCCACATCACATCTACGAGATCCTAAAGGGGGAGGGGGACGGACTGCCAGGCAGGGAATAGAATGGAGTCCAAGCCGATTGAGTGAGTGAGCGAGCGAGTGAGCGGAAGGCGACTGCGTCGTCTAAAGTGGTGGGGGGGGGGGGGGGGGGTCCAACCCTACTCTGATCCCACCCCAGGGGGGAGGAGGAGGAAAAAAAATGAAACCCCCCCCGAAAAGTCCTCCCCCAACCCTTTTTCTTTTCCTGGAAAAAAAAAAAAGAAGGGGGAAAAAAAACTTTCATGAATTTTATGGGGCTCTCCCTCTCCAAGGGTTTCCTGGGATCAGGGGTCGCTCTTGGTCTCTCTCTCTCATCCCCATGGGCAAATCAACAAAAAAGGGCCCCCCTCTCCCGGAAAAGAATTCCCTTCCCTTCCCCCTTTCCTTTTTGGGGCCCCCCCCCCCCCC